TCAGAGGCCCCTCACTCCACTACACATGGTCCAGAGTGCTCAACCTGGAGAGCGAAGCTCAGGGCCAGGGGCCTGGGAAGTTTCCATTTGATTTAGGCTTTACCCTTGTTCTTGCATGGCCCATGCCCAGCAACTTTTCACTATGCCTACCTGTGTCTCCTGATTCTGTTTCCTCTACACCATGCAGGACACTTCATGGTGTCCCCTTCCCTCAGGCTCCAGTCTTCCCCAGGGCCGCACTAGAGAGACAGGGCTCTCTCAGGCCCACAGCCTCACTCTGTACAGAAGAACAGGTTGTGAACAACCAGAATAACCTGGGTAGAGAGGCCACCTAGCAGGCTGGGAAAATAAAGAAGTCATGGACACTTGCCATCACCAGTAACACACATGACTCTCCGTCCTCCAGAGCGGAGGAATTCCTTGAGAGAATCTCAGCCTGGAGGAGGAGCACCTGATAGGAACACTCCACTGAGAGGACACTGCCCGGAGCACAACCCGAGAACAGAAGGTGAGAAAAGAGATGCCTTCTTGAAATCAGGGACATGGAATCAAGGCAGAAATCTCAGCTCCACTCTCAGGCCAGACAGCCCTTGGAGGACCCCAGCGTCTCATAAACACCTGTGATTTCTACAAAAGCCTTCCTTACACAGGGGCCCGTGTGAGTCTCAGGGAGAGAAAAAAAAAAAACAGAAGGCAAAAATTCTTTAATGCATTCTTTGGACGGAGCCTGAGCAGAGGGGCGCTTGACCTTGCAGAGTTGCAGTGACACAGGTAGGACACTGTGTTAATAAAGACACAGCAATTACTGCTTTCTGCTATTGCTGGGTGCCAGGGGCAACTGCCGGTGGCAGTCACAGAATAAGGGTGCCCTGTCCCCCTTTCCCAGACAGAGCAGCCACGGTTTTTGACAATGAAATATGGGCTTTCTTATCCTGGGGAGCTGCATCTTTCTGGCTGTGGGGGCCGGGGGTATGATAGGACTGTTTCAAAGGCCGAGGCTGAAGTCAGGAGAGTAAGTAAGGGCTGAAGGGCAGCTGTCACGGACAGATCGCTGGGTGGGACCCAAACACAGCAGGATTGCTTGGACCCCAGACTGGCGATAGCCTTCACTTGTATTGGGTGACCATTGGCGATGGTGACACCCTAGGGAGGATGGACACAGGCTGCCTCCAGATAGCCACCAGGGTCTGAAGCTTCCCCATGGGCTGAGGGCTGGCTACCCTCCCGTTTTCCTAAGTTGCAAAGCCCAAGGTTCTCATGCACCAGAAGGGCAGAGACAGAACTGCAGAAATGTCTGCTTAGGAAGTCTGCCAACTTCGTTCCGTGAAGGAGCGCAGATTTGTTTCCATTTGATTAACAAAAATAAAAAAGAATTATTTCTTGACACCAAGTGTCACACAGCAATCACTCGCCATTTTATTTAGTCTTCATGGTCACCCAGCATAATAGAAATCGTTAGTTCCATGCTCAATGACGCTCTGGCCGCTTCAGAGTATTTCAGAAACTGCCTGAAATCAGTCTCAAACTCACAAGTAGCAGAGACTTGAGTCAACAATCTGGAGAGCCAGAAACCACCTTGGCTCCAGAGAACACAAGCCTCCATTGCTAACAGGTGACTTGAGATATCTCTTGCAGCCAGGCAGGGTAGCTCACTCCTGGAATCTTAGGACCTAGGAGGTGGAGGCAGGAGGATCAGGAGTTTAAGGTCATCTTCTGCTACACAGTGAGGCCACTTCTTGTACAAATTTCTCTAGAGACACTGTAGACCTTTTGTAGAAAGTTACACAGTAGCAAATTCTGTTACTGTTTGGTTCTGGATCCACCTAGCCTCCAGTTGCTCCTTGGAAAGCGCTTCTAGATTCTAAAACCATCTTGGGAGATCCAGTTGCCACCAGACACATAGGGCAGGCCACTGAGTTCTTGAAATGTGGCCTGTCCTAACTGAGATGGGCAATTAAGTATAAAATACACCCAGTATGTCAAAGGCTCTGTGGGAGGAAGAACACATCTCCTTGGTAACTGTGTGCTGATCACCTGCTGAAGTTACAGTGGTCTATACTGAGCTAAATGAAACACACTGTTAAAATCAATTACACTGGCTAATTTTTCCCTTTTTCAATATGGCTACTAACAAATTTAAAGTGACTATCATGGCTTATACCTGTAACTGATCCCAGTCTCCAGACTTAACTGGGCTTCTGTGACCCTCCCCATCTCCCCCTTCCCTCTTCTCCTTTCCCCCCTTCCCCAACACTGATATGGGATGTAAGGAGGCAGACTCTCCAAGAATCCTGAGAATGTTCTGTCTGTTCATCATTTCTCCAAATTCCCATGCCTCTCCTGGCTCCTGTTTTTCTCAGCCCAGCTTCTGCCTCAACACTCAAGGTGTGGTTAGCAATTCTGAGTGCTAGGCACCCCTTGACCCCCATTCCTGCAGCCAGAGCACCTCTGATGGCCAGGTTTGTAAATCTGTCCTCTACCAGAAGCCTCTGGTAGAGTGAACTTTCTCCAAGCCCCATCTCTACCCCATAAGAGCCCAGTAATGAAATAATTCAGTGTGCCAATCACTTACTATAGTGCCAGATGCTCAGGTAAGTATTTTGCATGCTCCATTTCATTTAGTTCTCCTGAGCCACCTGTGTAAGACCGAGTTTTACTCATTTGAAGATAGTGTCTTGAGACACCTAAGGCCTGGATCTGGTTCTGTGCTATCACCTCGGCCCCATATGAAGCCACAGTGTCAACCTAACTGACACTGCTAGAGTCATTTGGGAAGAGGGAGCCTCAAATGAGAAAATGCCCCCAGCAGACTGACATGCAGGCAAGCCTGTGCGGCATTTTTCAAATTAGTGATTGAAGTGGGTGATGCCACCTCTGGGCCTGTGATCCTGGAAGTTATACAAGACAGGCTAGGAAAGCGAAGAGGAGCAGGCCAGTGAGCAACATTCTTCCATGGCCTCTGTATCAGCTCCTGCCTCCAGGTTGCTGCTTTGACTTCCTGCCCTGACTTCCCTAGATGATAGACTGTAAACGAAATAAATCCTTTCTTCCCTGTGTTGCTTTTGGTCATGGTGGTGTATCACAGCAATAGAAACCCTACTCAAGACACATGCCTTGCTCTCTGGAGCTCTGGCTTCAGTGCTCATAACATGAGAGGTATTATGGATGAGTGTTTAGTATCCTCCATAGGCTCAAACATTTGAAGACTTGGTCCCCAGCTGGAGGTACTGTTTTTGTGAGACTATAGGACCTTTGAGAGATGACACCCAAGCTGTCGGATGAATGTAAGGCCATAGTGGCAGGGTTTGTGGTTTATAGCCTAGCTCTGGTTCCAGCCTGCACCCTCTGCTTCCTGGTTCGCACAGATAACAAGCAGCTGTTGGTGCCACAATGCCATCCTGCCATGATGAACTGCATCCCCCTCAAACCGTGAGCCAGAAAAAATCCTTCCTATCTTAAGCTGTTTCTGTCAGTCATTTGATCTCCATGACTGAAAAGCAACTAATATAATAAGCGCTTGGTAAATACTGGTTAATCAGCATGGTGCAGCTGTGGTCCCTGAAAACACACACTAAGAGAATCCTGGCCCATCCCTGCAGGGCAGGACCTTTGCTGCCTCCACTCAGCCTCATCTTTTCTCCCACACCCTTCGCAGGGTCAGCCCTAGCCAGACCCTAGCCCAGGCAGAAATGTGTTGATCAGCTGCTCCACCACAAGCAGAACCATGGACCATGATGCTCAGGACTAGTAGTTCAGAGTCATGTTTAACCCAGAACCCAAGGAGCTGCCTCCCCAACCCCAAGGCATAGCCAGTTCCCACCACTCCAAGTACTCAAGCTCCTTTCCTTTCTATTCTTTCCAGTAGGTAGGAGCCCACTGACACCCCCACCTGTGGCCTGTAGCCTGTAGCCTATCCATTTCCTAGAGAGGGGCTTAGCTTGCTAAATTTCTTTAACTTATTCTTTCTAGTTGATTTAAAGCAAGACCACCCAGAAGTCCTAATACTCTGCTCCTCCCCAGCCCTTGGCTCTGACCAAGACCTCAACCCTAGCCTGAGCTAGATGGAATTTGCCACACCCTCTTGGGTCTCCTGCTGCTAACCATTGGCCTTTCTCCCTTGCCCTGGGGTCATTTCCCAAGACTTCAAGCTATTTTTGCTTCTGTCTCAGCCTTCTTTGTTCCCCGTGGAGGAGGCTACCAGAGTGCCACCCTCATGTCATATGTGGTAAAGACCAGACAACTAGTTCTGTTGTGGTATTTCCAGCCCTGTCTGGCCCTTGTCCTTCTAGTCTCAGGGGTCCATGCCTTCTAGGCCCTAGGGATCTGCCTGATGTTTCCACCCTTGGCTAAGTCCTGGGATTAATTGCTCGATCCACAGAATCTGGGAGACTCTGCATGTCCCCTCCACCTCCCTACAAACGACCTCCTGGTGCATTCCGTCTTCCCCCTCTAGTACAGGTAGCCCTGAAGGAAGGAATGGGCACAGTCCACTTTTCTATTTTCTATGAGCAACACCAAGCAGCACCAAAACTCTGGGCATGTGAACCGAACCTGAGGTGGTCCCATGGTACAAAGCCCCATCTACCTTTCAGGCATCACAGGTATAAAAGAGCTCCTTTGCCCTTTCTTACCTCAATTTCCTCACTGAAAAAAACCCCCACCCCACTTCCTGCAGGAGCTCATGACAATAGTGACTTCTTGATTTGTACTCTACATCCCTCAAATAAGATATGCTGCATGCATAGCCAAGGCGCCAGGCCTTCCCACAAGGCAGAGGAAGTGAGTTCAGCTGATGCTAAATCTTCCAGTACCTGGCTTCAACAAGCACATGGCTGAAGACAAATAACTCTAAGGTGTCCATCTATCATCTTATCAGGCTCTGTGTGCTTTGTTTGCACAGTTATCTTCTCGAGTCTGACACTATATGCCGAATACAAACTGATATATTCCCCTACCTGCCATAGCATTGCTAAAGGATAGCCGAGCTTCGGGTTCATTACCTGTCATTACACCATGAACATGTCGCTGGGGGCCAGAGCATCAATTCTTCCTGAGTCACTCCAGCGGCGCAGCCTCCCAGTCGGTGCTCCAGGTCCAAAAAGCTTGGGCTCACTGCTCAGGCCTGGGTAAGCCCCATGCCATCCTCCCTTCCTCTTCTGGCTGGCCAAATCCTCAAGATGGGAGACTTGAGCTCCAGCTGCCTCAGAGGGGACCTGTAAGTAGAAAGTAGAACAGCGGTCTCTATCACAACTAGGTCCAGACAGACAGGTCCAGGTGTGAACTGTTCTGGAGTCTTCTACTTGGCCTCTTATTGTTCCTTATTATTAGATCCCATGGTGCCTGGAGCCTATAGCATGTAGGGTTCCCACTGACAGTGCTCTGACCACAGGATCAGCAAATGATGTACACACACACACACACACACACACACACACATGTGCGCATACACACATTCATTATTCCTGATGTCTTAGCTCTGAATACTTCATTCTGTCTACTTCAAAGACTCCCATTCCAATCAGGTATCCACCTGCTAGCTGTCACTCAGGCTTCAGTCAGACCCTTCAACAGGACCCCTGAGCTGTCCCAGTGTTCTGGAAGAGAAGGGAAATGGATGCACTCCCTTCGCCAATGGGAGGTGCAGAGAACAGGACACTCCTAATGCTTCCCACCAAATCCTGGGACAAGACTTCAGGAGCTCCAAGAAGACCACCCTACCTGTGGCCCCATGATGAATGTATTTCCAGCCCTTTACCTTAAAGGAAGAAGCAAGGGGGGGGTAGAACTCCTTATGGCAAGGGACAAAGACACTGGTCCTACTGAACCCCGATATTTTAGGGCCAAAACTATGGCTTTTATTCTGCAAGGAGGCTGTGCCACCTGCTTGGACCCTGGGACCACACAGCCTGCAGCCCTGTCCCTCTCACCAGGCCTGGACACCAGCTCTGCTGCCCACATGGCTGAGGTCCACTAGGGGCCCTCTTGACCTCAGTGGGCCGGCTGCTGAGAAGGCACTGTAAATGGAGAAAATGGCCCAGGTGCCCAACACTTCAGGAAGAGAAAGCATTGTGCACCGGGTGCAGATAGTGATGGAGCCAAACAACACACACTCTTCCCTCTGGCCTCAGTGGACGAATGAAGCAAGGTGAGGATGATGATCTGCCATGTGTATAATGACCTCCAGAGGATGATGGCTGAATGAAAGTAAAGCAAGTGTGAACAGTGGCCACATGCCTTATTAGGGAGCAGGAAAGACAATCAAGCTTTTGCTCTCTTCTCCAAATGAAAGTCTAGGAGGAGTAAGCAGGAGGGTGAGGAGTGTGAAGCAGAGAACAGTAGCTGGAGAGATACTGAGGCAACAGCAGCATCTTGGGCCCAAAGAGAACTGGCTGCAATTAAATGCTAATAACTACCAACCTCTGAGATACCTGGCCCACAGCTCTGCCCTTGAGAACCTTCTTCAAGGAGCAACAAGCAGCACAGAGTGGCTTTAGAGGGCAAGATAGATGCTGTTATTCCCTTTGAAAGGCACACATCCACTCCATATGCTTTCTTACCTATGCGATCTATTCCTGAGAACTGAAAGGGAGGAGGATAATCCCTCAGGATTCTGCCCCTGTGAAGAAAGTGCCCCACTCTGGACAAAGGCTTCCCAGCTTGATTCTGAAGCAGCTACTACTACCAACACCCAGGACTTCCACCTAGGTCATTCTTCCTTGGCCATGGTAGCCAGGGCTAGCCTGACTCCAGAGCAAGCAGCACAGGTCCAAGGGTGGCTAGCCAGGGTGGTGGCAGATCCTGAACAAGGCAGCAAGATGGCCCCAAACATCAATGGCCTCATATAGCTTGTGCAGCTCCCTGCGCCTGCCTCCAGCCAGCAGAAGACCAGGCACAGCATATTAGACTATAAGGAGGAACAGAAATCAGGGCCCCTCCCCCTGTATTAGTGGTACTTGCTAAGACAGCCCCATGTGTATGCAGGTGCAGTGGGGGAAGGGAAGGAGCTGCCCTTACGAAGCAGGCCATTATCATGGCCCACCAGTGACACAGTCACCTGGATCATCTGGTACTGGACTGATGGGAAATGGTGGGACACCCATATCTCTGGGCATGGGGGTATGTGTATATATGACCAGCACGTCCTGGCCCTCCGGTGGGGTGGGGCTGAAACATATTCCTAGCGGATGGTGCTGTCACCTCGCTCCGGGACTCTCATTCCTAATTACCTGTGCTGTCAGCCAAACAATTAACCCTCAAAGACAAACTGCAATGTCCGCCCCCAACTGTACGAAAAGGCCATTTTCCCAAGGGCAAGATACCTAGGGCAGCCTTGTGCTCTGCTCCAGATCTCACCAACCTCTGGCCTCAGAGGTCTATAACTGGCTTTGAGGCAGAGGCAGCCTCCCCACTTCCTCTGACAGAGGGTCAGTTTGTTGTTTTTTTTTTTTTAATTTTTAATTTTTATCTTTTGTAAGTGGGGGAGGTGGGGCTTGTCCTGAGGGCTCCCTGAGCCCTCTGAACTACTGTCTTAGATTGCCCTTCATCTGAATTTGGGGTGTGCTTGCAGAGGCTGAGCTCCCTGTCTGTCCCCTTCATCACTTTATTTATTTATTCAGTTGTGGCAGGTGGATGGCTGGAGATGCAGAGAAAGTGTCTCCTCGGTCTTCCTGACCCTTTTCGGAGCTCTGCCTGCCGGGAGAGCAGAGGGGCATTAGGAGGCAGAAGTCTTCTTGAAGCATTTAGATCCTCTCAAGAGGTGGGGCTACAGAAACACAGCCTCTTCTCCACTAAGAATTTGAAGAGCCAGGCCCTAAGGCCCCAGAGCAGAGCTGTAGAGGGGCGGGGCACAGTGTAGAGGGGCGGGGCACTGTAGAGAGGGGCGGGGCTCTCCTATCCCAGCCCCCACTGCTGCACCTCTCAGGTCTGGAGGCCTCCACAGGGCAGTCGCAGGGCCCGCCCCTACTGGTGCATTAAACAGCAGAGGTACAAGTGAGTGCGCCAGAATGGCTTCCCCTAAAGGAACAATCTAAAAAGAGAGTGCTTGGGAGGCTGCGGCAAAGTGTCTGTCACCTGAGAGGGCTACTATGTAAAGTGTGAATGTGAATTGAAGTCATCCATCGCCATGCACTGACATGAAGAGCAGGAGGCGCTTCAAGGCGGCTTTGCATAGGGGATGACAGCCCCTCTAGCCACTTTGCACCAATGCCATAAGAGACACCGAGGACCCATCCCTTCACAGAGAGGAAAAGGAAAAGGCCTGGCGCAGGCAACCTCAGTCTTGTCCCACAGATTAGGGAGCTCAGAGCAGAAAAGGGGATGGCAAGACAGGGACATGGCATGGCCCCCTGAAAGTCAGAAAGAGCCCCCCAGACAGGGACATGCCCTGGGTACCCGGGGAAGGGGTGCAGAAGGTGGACGGTGAGCTAGAACTGCTTTCCCACCACGTGGCCAGCCCATGCCTTGTGACATCACTGTGATCCGCCGTCCACCTGCACACACCCCTTTGTGTCCAAGGGGTGCAGGTTCCCACAGCAACTCCACAAAACCGGGCTGTGTTGATATTCACATAGGGAATCTGCCTGCTTGGAGGCAGCACTCGAGAGTGCACCCCCTGCCCGGGGCCCATGTCGGACAGGCGCCAAAGTCTGGCTGCAGACATTTCTAAATATGAGCAGCTTGGCACTGAGAGTCAGGTTCCCAGACCTCCTTGGCCCAGGAGACCCTGCCAGGATTCTCCAGGCAGTTTGAGAGAGAGGAGAGAGCTGGGGGCAGTGGGATCAGGAGCCTGCCAGGCGGTGAGAAGCACAGCCCCAGCCCCTGGAAGCCCTACAGCCTCGTCAGGGGAAGAAAAGGGATTACCCAGCACCCAGCGTCCAGAGCCTGATCAATTGCTCACAACCCCTGCAGCAGCATGGGAACGCTGCTGTCTTCTCAAATGTGCATGGATTAAAAATATACAAATGGAATCTTTTTTCTGCCCCTCTCCTCAACCCCCTGAAGCCTAGGATGCCTGTTAAAAATAGCCTTGCTGTGGCGGGGATCCTGCACAACCCAAAGGCTGGCAGGAAAATGAAGGCGCCATTGGAGGGAGCCATGTTAAGTGGCTATCCTTGGGAAGTGGGACAAGGAAAGTCCCCGAGGAAGACTGCCTGTCTCAAGCGTCTCAGGACACACTTCTGCATGGCTTGGGTCTTTACCAACAAGCACATATTTCATTCTACACCACGGGAGGAGCTGTGTCTTCCCGCTCAAGCCTTCTGAAGAGCTAATGCCGGTTTAGCAAGCCAGCAACACGGTGCAGGCTGCCCAGGCATTCCAGCCACCAGAGACAAAGTGCCCAGCATCCTGTAGGGAGCAGTGGATCGAGGGCATGGCCTCAGGAGGGACCTGAGTTCTCTGGGCCTGGTCGCCTGCTGCAGAGGGGAGCAGTTGGATTTATTGCTTTATCGTTTCCTGATTTGAAAAGTGCTATCTGCCCCTTGTATCTTCCTACTGTGAAAGATGAAGGAAATTGTCTTTAAGTGCACTAGGGTGGGGTGGGTGGTGGAATGAGGGGTCACTGTGAAGGGAGAGACTGTTCTGAGCATGCAGGCCAACTTCCCGCCTTGCTGATGAAGTGTGCAAGGTGGAAAGACTATCAATTTGGTACCTAAAAGCATTCTGAGTTTGAACCCTGACTTGGGCTATCAGTAACTATGGCAAACCAGCCTCTTCACCCTGCCGCTCAGCTGGAGCTCTGTACTTTTAACCACCCTGAGATATAGCCCAGACTATGGAATCAGGTTTGTTTGCTAGCCCTACCAACAATGAGCTGTGTGATCCTGAGAAAGCCCATAGACCTTCCTGTGCTTCAGCATCTTCATCTCTAAGAAGGGAGTGAAAGGCAGTGGGGGCTGTTGTTACTGAAACCCGCACTCTGCCCTGAGCAACTATCTTGGCTCCAGTTGTCATGCTTGTATATTCTATAGATTTAGCTTATAGAATTTCCCCCACTCCTCCACTCTTATAAACATCTCACTGGCCTCTTCACTCCCTCTCTCTGCTCAGCAGCTTGTGCACCTGGCTTGTGCCTCCTACCCTGGAGCTCAGCAGGACGCAGACTTGAGATCACTGATCCGCAGACTCTGAGCCCTAATACAAACACAGATGCTGACGAGAACAGCCAGGTGAGCTGGCAGTGTACATTTCTAATAATCTCCCTGGGGACAGCCAT